GAGGGGCTTTCACCCAGCCCCTAGAGCCTGGCACTTTGAACTTGGACTTAAAGCCTCCAAACTGTAAGAGAATAAACTCCTGTTTGTTAAGGCCATCCCACTTGTGGTATATTTCTGTCAGTGCAGCACTAGGTAACCAGAAGACACATGCATGCATGTACATGCTCACACTTCCTTTAAGTAGGTAGCAAAGGCTTTTTAAGAAGAAATAGGATGACCTTGGCCTTGAAGGACAGGATGGGCAGAGCTTGGGTCCTGATAAAAGTCAGTTGATTAATATGTTTATTTTGTGCTGTACTTGCTATTAGTTTATACCAGTGTAGAGTAAGGAGGAGTATTCAACCATGGGGGTTAGTAATGCCAGGAAGCTGCTGCCAAAAGTAAAGGAGTTGAAGAATATGAAATTCACAGTGAGGAACTATGCTCATCAGTGAGCAGCAGGGAATGAAGTGGTTTTGAAGATAATTTAGTGGTTTTCTCTGAATCCATTTAGGGAAATAGGCAAGAAAAAAAGATTTCAGACTTGGAGCCTTTACCTTATCAACACCATACCCTAATGTAGGTACAGCCAGGGTTTTCCTTTAGTTTAAGAGAACCAGAAACTCTGGTTTCCTTTCTACTTGTTCCTCTCTGGGATATTCGTATGACAAAGGTGATCCAGTGTGTTGTTTTGTTTTATGTCATTAGGCCACGATTGAGAATAAATGCACTATCTGGGATCCTATCAGATCTCTTTCCCAAGGAATCCTTTACCTAAGAAGGCTATCTATAATAAAATCTCCTTTTTTCAAAACCCCTGTAGCTGACAGGAGGAGATGTGGTAGCACAGTGCCTAAGGCATTTGACTGCTAACCAAAAGGTTGGTGATTTAAACCTACCAGTTGCTCCAAGGAAGGAAGATAAGGCAATCTACTTCCATAAAGATTTACCACCTTGGAAAACCAACGAGGTTCACTATGAGTTGGAATCGACTAGATGGCAGTGGGTTTTGGTTTTTGAGTAGTTTACGCCTTCTGAAGGAGCTATGGTGCCACAGTGCCAAAGGCATTTGACTGCTAAGCAGGAGGTTGACGTTTCAGACCCACCAGCCACTCCGTAGAAGGAAGACTGGGCAATCTACTTCCATAAAGATATACCACCTTGGAAATCTGATGAGGGTTACTATGAGTCAGAACTGACTTGATGGCAGTGGATTTGTTTATTTGGGTTTTTTTTTTTTTTTTTGGTAAGTATTATGTTCTGTTCTGGTTTTGTTTTATTATTTTTATGATTGGTTTTTCAACTAAATAAGTTCCTTATTATTAGGAATGCTTTTTTGTTGTTGTTTGTTTGTTTGTTTTTGCATCTCTTAGCGCTCTGGAAGCATAGTGCCTAAGGCACTTGACTGCTCACCAGAAGGCTGGCGGTTCAAACCCACCAGCCACTCCTCGGAAGGAAGGTTGGGCAGTCCTACTTCCGTAGTGATACTGCCTCGGAAACCCAAGGAGGGGTCGCTATGAGTCGGGGCCGACTCGACGGCAAACAACAACAACAACAACAAATAGCACCTAGAATGGTGCCTGGCATCTAGGAATTAAAATGCCAAAGTAACCAGTATTGTGGTATTGTTCCATTTAAGGACTTTCTTACCCTTGTACTTTGGGTTTCAGTGGGAAATTTATATTTGTGGGGCCAGCTGACAGGTAAGTAATCTTTGAAACTTGAAAGATTTTTTCTTCTTTTTTAAACTTTTCTGGATCTTAGAAATATTATTAAATACTTTAGAAAATATTGGTAAAAAAGGAAGCATTACCATGTGAATGGTTTACCAGTTCCAATCTGTCTTGCTTTTGTCCACTTTTTATTTCATTTTTTATAATAAATCTGGAGTAGCAAAAAATCTTAGATGGAAGGGAGGAGAAGCAGGTCAGTACTTTCATTAAGAAATGTTGTTGGAATCTACTGAGAAATGATGTGAGAGAGTTGAGTATGTGACTGTCATTTCCTTTCTCTTCTTTCCGCCCAGCTGTTTTTCAGAGTGACAGATGATCGGGCCAAGTACTCTGAACTGTACTTAGTAGGAATGATCTGTTACTATGGCAAGCATTATTCCACATTCTTTTTCCAAACAAAAATCCGCAAATGGATGTATTTTGATGACGCTCATGTCAAGGAGGTAGGAATACTCAAGAATTTTTTTTTTTTTTTAAATATAATTTTATTTATTTTGTTGTTGTTTAGAATATGCACAGCAAAACATCCACCAACTTGACAGTTTCTACATGTACCGTTTAGTAACATTGATTATCTGCTTTGGGTTTTGAAATCATTCCACCTTCCTTGCTCAAGCACTTCCTGACGTGTTTGGTGGCAGCAAAGAACAAATGAGCAAACTGAAACAATATAAGAATAGTGATTTCTCTCAGTATTTCATATGCCCTCTCCCATGAACTCCATAAGACATACTTTGCATTTTATCTATCTGTCATCAAGCTTATCAAACTTGTGTGTTCTTAAATATCTGCTAAGTTTCTGAAGGATATAATCAACATATTCTATTATTTTCTCTGAATCTTTTCACCTGGCATATAGCACAGTTCTGAATTTATGGTAGATCATTTTTTGTTTGTTTGTTTAAATTTTGGTTCATTTGAGTGGGAATAATCTAATGCCTCAAATGAGTTTATAAGTTTAGCACAAAGTTTGGAATTCCAAGTATAAAAATTATCAGTGGGTAGTACTGCTGTAAATTATTCTCCAGTTATTATCTTCCTAAAGTGCCCTATCTAGGAGCTCTGGTAGCATAGTGGCTAAGACACTTGACTGCTAACCAGAAGGCTGGCGGTTCAAACCCACCAGCCACTCCTCGGAAGGAAGGTTGGGCAATCCTACTTCCGTAGTGATACTGCCTCGGAAACCCAAGGAGGGGTCGCTATGAGTCAGGGCTGACTCGACGGCACATAACAACAACAACAACAAAGTGCCCTATCAGAGATTAATATATTTTTGGGATAGAATATGGAAGATAGGGTTATAATGGTTTTTAAAGCAGGGAATTTTGGTACTCTGGGTAGTCTATGCTTGAAGTGGTTCAGGGGATCTGCATGAATTAGGAAGCCCCTTGGAATAAGGTTACCAACTTGGGGAGAGGAGAGTGGCTGCGGGTGCAGACTTTAACCTGTACCAATCCAGGGACCTTAAGCATTATCTTCCATTAATGGTAGTCTTTGCCGAACTCCCTGATTTTTATCTTCCTCTCTTTTGTTGTTGTAATTTTGGGCAACTTATTTCAGTTCTCTGAACTTTAGAATTTTTATTTGAAAAACAATATCTATCCTATAAGATATTAAATAAGATTGACTTGACGGCAGTGAATTTGGTTTGGTTTTTGTTAAAAGCATATAAATATGTTTTAATAAAAGTAATGATAACTTAGTTATAAATTTACAAAGCATTTATGGGCAAAACACTATGCTAGTTGTCAACTCCAATAGCACAGCATTTAAGAATATGACTGGTTCAGGCCTAAAATAGGGTGGGTTTGGGGATTTAATTGGATTTCCGTTTCCATGGCTATTCTGTCACTCTTCCACAAGCACACCACTAAGACCAAGAGGTCCAGCTGTCTATTCTAAGCAGTTTGACATTTTATGTCCTGCCATGCATGAATTCTGAAACTGGGTATCATTTACTCTATGGCAGTCTGTGAGAAAGTTTCTGCCCGCTTTCAGATTCATAAAAGTCATTTTAATGTTTGGGAGAAATTTATGGAAATGTGAATCTCAAATGAGGGTTTTAATCTGATATCTGTGAAAAGAAATAGGTCACCAAGGCAGCTGAAGTCCTCTCACATAGCATATTCAGCTTTGGGACTGTTCATTCATAATTCATAACTCAATGGCTATTTCACAGAAATAAAAATAATTTCATTCAACTTCCCTTTCTCTCATAGGATTTGAATGCTTTCTAAAAAGATTTACCAAAAAATTCCTAAGTTTCCATCTAAGATCTCGTCTGTTGTCTCTTTACCCAATTTCTGGCTTTTCATTTGTTTGATGTTCTTCAGAAAAACATGACAAGAAGGTATGTTTTGAATTGTGGAAATTAAGTATAATTGTCATATTCTTCCTGTTGTTTCTTATTCAGATTGGACCCAAATGGAAGGATGTGGTGACCAAATGCATCAAGGGGCATTATCAGCCTTTGCTGTTACTTTATGCAGACCCCCAAGGCACCCCAGTGTCCACCCAGGACCTGCCTCCCCAAGCTGAGTTCCAGTCATATAGCAGGACATGCTATGATAGTGAAGATTCAGGTAAGCAGCCTAGCTTTCTACCTCACAGCCACCATCCCCTGTGATCAGTGGTTGGGACTCATATATAGTCATGAACCTAGCATATAACCTAACTTGAAGAAAGAGGAGCTGTGAAAGATAACTCTAACTGCTAATTCCTGCTGAAATCTTGGTTGTACTAGACTTTGTTTTTTTCTGCTTTCAAGAGTGTGTTGCCCAAATTACCTTGGGCCTCAACTCAAAAGTGAGAAGGAAATTGTTGATTTAGATTGAGATACTAAGTTTGTGAGGGAGATTTCAGTATTTAACCTTATAATTATGATGGAGATGACTGATTCTTATACCACTTTAACAGTGACTTAAGTGAGTTGTCAAGACCAAGAAAAATGATTTTGAGCTACTACAGACCTAGTCAGTTGATCTGGGATGAGAGATTTTTGTTTGAAAATTCAAGTGCAAGAACATATTCCTCAATTTATCAATGAGTTATTCATGATTAAGCCAATCGCTTGCAACTTAATCCATGTTTTCCTATAGAAACAATTTTCAGGTTGGCAGCTAAGTCCCAGTGTAGTCCACAGAGGCTCCTAATATATTTGAATTACAGCCCTCGTAGTTTTGGCTTGATTTCTGAAAAGGAGGAAGAAGAAATGTTCTTTTTCCTCTTCCAGATTGAGGGCTGGCCTTGAGTATAATTTTGACAGAGGAGTTACTTGTCTTTGAAATCTTTCTCCCTACTTTTTGTACCTCCCTCCTGTTTGGTACCTGGTGCTCTTATCACTCTCGTACCCCACCCAGACCTGACCTACTTCTCCCTTCAAACAAACACCCATTCCTCCTGCTGTGCTTACCTCAGCTAGGTGTTCAGAGGAGAGCAGTCCAACTGAACTAATTCATACTAGAGTATGAATAACAGCCCTATAATTTCTCAGAGCTGTTAAAATGCTTATATCAAACAAAAAGTTTTAAATGACATTTCTGGCAGTATAGAAGAGAGCTTATGTGATAGGGGAACAAGTGGTTATATACACCAGGTCAGCCTGAGACTCTCCATCTAAATAGATCCTACTTTTCACAACTTTTTCCTTTCTCCCACTTTTCCCCCCATAGGTTTTCTAAAAACCCCACAGTTTTTCATAGTGGCAGGCAAAGTGAGGGCTTCAGCAAGGTAGGGGCAGAGGTGGGAGGAATTGTTTGTGTCTTCTGGGTTATCTGGAGATTGGGTATTGGGAAGAATGGTCCTGTGTATACACGTACTTTCTCACCCTTCCATATAGGAAGTTCTTGCCTTGTGGACCTTTGTTGCCATCAGTCTCTTTGCCGACTCTCTGTCCCTGTCATCTCTTTCCTTACTTTGGCATATATGTCTCCTCCTTCCCTCAGGGAGGGAACCCTCCATCTCCAGTGACACTCGAACAGATTCCTCAACGGAGAGCTATCCCTACAAACACTCCCATCACGAGTCTGTGGTCAGTCACTTCTCTTCTGATTCTCAGGGGACAGTCATCTGTAATGTGGAGAATGATTCCATGTCTCAGAGCAGTCGGGACACAGGTAGGGACTTTTACACAAAGGATACTGATTGCCTAATTCACTTCTTGCATGGAGAGTCTCCCAAGAAAAAGAAATTGGGGCAAGTCAGAAGTGGCTGCCATGGAAAGGGGGAAAGGCAAAAAATTTGGTTTTTGAGTGGAATACAGAGAAGCATCACAATCTTGAATGAATGATGGTGCTGCCAACAGCAGCATGTCAATAAGGACCATTGTAATTGTTTCTTCTGAAGTCGGCTTTTTTCCTGCTACCCTGGAGATCAATGTACTTCCCACAGTGTCCTACAAACCCCTTGTGTCCTTGCACCTTGTCATGTTTTTGTGCCAAACTTCATCTTGAGTGAAGAGCTTTGAGAGAAGGGGTATATTTATGGATTGTTGTTGTTGTTGTTATGTGCCGTCGAGTCAAACCCGACTCATAGCGACCCCTCCTTGGGTTTCTGAGGCAGTATCACTACGGAAGTAGGATTGCCCAACCTTCCTTCCGAGGAGTGTCTGGTGGGTTTGAATCGCCAGCCGTCTGGTTAGCAGGCAAGTGTCTTAGCCACTATGTTACCAGAGCTCCTATATTTATGGATAGGGTCATATTTTAGGCAAGCTCATCATCTTGCCAGCCTTCCTAAAGGCAAAAGAATGAAAGATAGCCTGTTTGTTTTTCTGAGTCTGCTGCAGAGAACATTCTTGAATTGTTTTGTGGTTCTATAGGAGAATACACCAGTGTCAGTGGAAGAAATCAGTGCAGGCATAAAGCAAAAGCAGTAAGGTAACTGCTGAGCTGAAAAGTTCATTGCAGGATATAGAACACTTGTAGCATGGAACAGTGCACACACTCCAAGGGATTTGGGAATTGGTGTGCTCGTGGCTTCTTATTGATGGTTTATATTCTGTATGTGGCCTTTTATAGTCAAAAGTGTATAGAACAGTATAATGCCACTCCATGTACCTTACCTGTCTCCTACTTTCAACAATTATAACTGGGCTGATCTAGTTTCACCCATATCTCTATCTACTTCTCTCATTCCTGGATTATTACAAAGCAGATACCAGATATCATGTAATTTCGTCCATAAAAGGCATGATTTTTTTTTTTTAATGGTTTGTATATTTGACACAGAATCCAAATGAGGTCTCTGCTTTGCAATAGGTTGGCACATCTTTTATGTTTCTTTTAATCTATAGGTTTCCCCTCTATCTAATTTTTCATTGCAAATTACTATTGAAGAAACCAGGTAGTTTGTCTTATAGATTTCCCACAGTCTGAATTTTGCTGATTACAACCCATGGTGGAGGTTAGCATGTTTCTTTGTCCTCTGTATTTTTTGTAAATTGGTACTTGGATGTAGAGGGTTGGTCAGATTCATGTTGGGGGCATAGATAGTGTTGGGTTTGTGATTTTTAGGCCATATTTCTGAAACTGTGAGTCAGGGAGAAGCCAAGCCACAGGACAAACAAGGCATATTTTTGAGGAGAGCTAGTTTTATGTTAAGAGTTTTTGTTTGTTTATGGAGGGGAAAGGAAGTTGTGTCCTATTGGTTTAACATTTGTACCATTTAGTCGGCTCCAAGTGATTTCTTCCTTTTATAACCTTTCTCGTGGACCTGGAAGTAGCAAAGTGATCAAACCAGAGTAACAAAAGATTATGGTGGGAGTTGACAGAAAGTGTGTATCAATATCACTACCTTGCTGACAGCTGACTCTATGAAAGGATTTCCATATACTAACATATGATAACAAATTTCTGTTAGCTCTCAGTACATTTGAGAACCTAGCCTGTGTTTTCTAAACTTGTCTTGTAATGTAATTCAGCTGCTCAATTTGCCTCTGGCTTCCAGAGTTTAGATGATCATATCCTTTATAATCTGCTTCCCCACTGGGGAATACGGACTTTTTGCTGTTATCAAATCATTCCCATACATTCATATGCTATGGACATGAAGCAGTTACATAAATGAGCCAAGGTTTCCTGGGATTATCAGTGATTAACCAGTTGCTATCAAGTTGATTCCAACTCATGGTAACCCCATGTGTGTCAGGGTAGAACTGTGCTCCATAGGGTTTTCAGTGGCTGATTTTTAGAAAGTAAGTCTTTCTTCTGAGGCTGATTAGCTGCTGAGTGCATTAACCATTTGCATTACCCAGGTACTTCTCCCAGGAATTGTGACCAGTAATTTCTGGATGGGGTCAAGTTTGGTAAATATGCCTTGGCATGAGAAAGAGAATTACTCAAAGTTAAAATATCCTTTTAAATGACACACATTTAATGAAGGTTTAGAACTGGGTCTTAAAGCCATACACAATCAGTGCTCTTATGAGCAAAGACTGAGACAACTGGGGTAATGCCAGATGTACTAAAAATTAGACTTTTCTTGACTTATGTTGCGAAAGTAATTAATTAAAATAAAATAGATGGAAAGCTCTGTCTTTAGTATATGAGAGTGAAAATATAGGTATGCGATGTTTTATACAATCTTTCAAATATTTACCTTTTAAATATTACCAATTAATGCATCCTTAGTCCTTCTAGACCATTGAGAAAGATTATGAGCTGTATTAAGACTGCTTATTGCTCATAAGACATTGTGAAATTGAAAACTCCTATTAAACACTTGAGCTTCTCTGCTTTTACCTACAAGCTTTCTGCTAGACTTAAATCAGATAGTCTTCAATTTCTGACCGTGGGTACACTTCATGTGTGCCACTGTCATGAATCCCAAAGGGAGACTATGTTCTCAAGAGGGTCAATCTCAGATATCAGCTTACCCCATTTCCTTGTTTTTTTCAGGTCACCTGACTGATAGTGAATGTAATCAGAAACACACATCCAAGAAAGGGTCACTGATAGAGCGCAAGAGGAGCTCTGGCCGAGTTAGGAGGAAAGGCGATGAGCCACAGGCCTCAGGGTACCACAGCGAAGGCAAGCCACTCTGCAATGTTCCTCTTTCTTCAGTCACTTTATAAGTTTCTGTCTTTTCCTTTCTTCTCAAAGGGTCTTATCCTTGTTTTCTAGACTTTAGAGTCTGGGTATCTGTGATCACTTTAAACATCTATATTTGTCTCATTGTGTGTTTTTAGGAGAAACACTGAAAGAGAAGCAGGCTCCAAGGAATGCCTCCAAATCATCCAGCAGCACGAATAGGCTGAGGGACTTTAAAGAGACAGTCAGTAATATTATCCATAACAGGCCGTCTGTGGCTTCTCAGACCAACCTAGGATCTCCCTGTGGAGCCAGGGGAGGAGACCAGCCTGACAAAAAACCTCCTAGGAACTTGCTCTTGCACTCTCATGACTGGGAAGTAGAGAGTAACAGCAGTGAGTCAAAATCCAGTTCTTCCAGCAAGCATCGTCCAACATGGAGACCAAAACGGGAATCTCTGAATATTGACAGTATCTTTAGTAAGGACAAAAGAAAGCACTGTGGCTATACACAGCTTAGCCCTTTTTCTGAGGATGCAGGTGAGGAGATAGAGAAGAATTGGGCTTTTGAATAAAGTTGATTTATGTGTTTAAAAACTTGGGTTTTCTGGTAGTATTGACGAGGTGCATTGTTTACTCAGATGTTGAGCGTTTTGGGGATATGAGTTCAGTGAATGAGTAGCTGGAGGGAGGGATTATCCCTTGACTTTAGGCAGATACTAAATCTACCTCCTTTTCCATACTTGTCCTTTGATTGAGATAGCTAAAGAATTTACACCGAATGAACTAAGCAAACCGCCTCCTTTTGACAATAAAACTGGTGGACCAAACCCTGGATATAAGCCCTGGGGCCCAGCGCGGCCAGGCTCTCACCTTTTGGAACAGCACCCCCGCCTGATCCAACGAATGGAATCTGGCTATGAGAGCAGTGAGAGGAACAGCAACAGCCCTGTCAGCTTGGATGCAACCCTGCCTGAAAACTTGAATGTCTACAGGTATTGTTTGGCCCTTGAATATAGAGAAACCTTTTCCCTTGCAGCAACGTGAGCCACATTTTTGGAGCTTTTCACCTGCACTCAGACAAGGGGAGAGTTGGACTTTGTTACCATCTTGTGGACAAGTAAAGTACTGTGCTCTTGCAACAGTACCCTTCGTTGCTATCAACTTCTTATAGCAATAGTACCCTCTGCTGGGTGGAAGAACAAAGGCATTTGAGAAAGAAGAATTCTGTCAATTTAAAGTGTTACATATAGAGTAGTTATTTAGAAAGTAACATTTAATGAAAGAAAGAATTGGTGAATCAAAATTTACATAATTTGAGATAGAAGAGGAAACCCTATTGTTATTTATTCTTGTCTTCCATCTTGGGATAGAATTATTTTGCTGTTTCAGAGTCACTGGGGATCCTGTATTTTATTAAGCCAGTGATATTCAGAATCTTCTAAGATAATGATGACAGTTCAATAGTGCTTATTGTAGCATAAGGCCTAGTTTGCTGTGTGAATTTCAGGTCTCCATAGATTGTTTTTATTGACTTGCCACAGAGGCAAGTTTCCTTACAGTATATCTACTTTGAAAATAGTGATTATATCTTCTACAAAGGTGGTAACCATATCCTCCTACTCTCCATTACTCTTCCCTGATGACAGGTCTCTGTTCAGTTTTACTCATGAGAAGATGCACCAAAGGTATAAGAAAGAGGAAAGAAATCCATACAAGAATATCTGTTCATTAATTAATTTATTCATTCAGTACATTTGAATGTCTGCTATATACCAGACACTGTGCTAATTGAAAAGATGTGAATGAGATGAGATAAGACATGGGGCATGAGTAGATACTTCAGTCTTTCAGAAGTTTAGCAGAATCTTTATATTAGTTTAATGTTTGGTTGTTTTATTTTATTTTATTTTTATTAGGATTTGGGTGAAGATTTACAGAGTAAATTCACTTTTCATACAGCAGTTCACATATACTTTGTCTCATATCATTGACCAAAATTT